TCCTTTGTCTCCATTGGCTCATACACCATCCCCAACTCAGTCCTCGCCACCTCCTTTGCCTGGGCACACAGTCGGAAGCTCCAACACCACCCAAACCTTTCCTGCCAAACTACACTCATCCCCACCAATCATAAGGCCTAGACCCAAGAGTGCCGAGCCACCCAGATCACCACTACTCAAAAGAGTGCAGTCAGCAGAGAAACTTGGGTCACCGCTTTCATCTTCATCCGAGAAGAAAGGTGGGATCGGGGTGATGAGGAAACACAGTTTGGAGGTTGGACATTCGGATTATCGTAAGGATGGTTTCCACTGTGAGCTTGGCCTCCAGAGCTTGGTGGAAATTGAGGGTGAGAATCTGCCATCTGCCCCAACAACTTCTCCTTCACCCACTCAACCGACCCCATCACTGCCTGAAACGGGCGTTCTGAAGCCAGTAAGGAAGCTAGGCAGGCAGGAGTCACCTTTGAGTAGAGATGCTTTGCTTGCCGGAAGAGAAAGGGATCGAGACAAGGAGAGGATTGGTGAACCAAGTCATCCTAGTGAGCCTAAACCAGGGGCGGTCAAAGAAACACTCCCTCCTGGTGGCATTATTCCACCTGGAAGTAAGAAATCTCCAAGTGTTGAAGCATCTCAGCGGCCTCCTTCCACTCTACAGGAAAGTTGCCTAGCCAAGCCTCAGACTTGGCAGCCTCCATTGACCAAGTCTTCTCCGGTAGCATCAGAGTCCAAGCCTAGTGTAGTCGCCTCCATTCCATCACCCCTGACTACAGCATCTTCCCCATCTGCCAAAACAACAGATCCAAGTTTCATCAAGGAAGCAGGAAAGGATGACCAAGGAAGTCTTACAAAAGTTGCCCAAAACCAGGCAATAGGAACCACTAAGCCTTCATGCTCTGCAAGTGTATCAGGTGTTATCAGCAAAGACTTGTCGGAGAAGGAAGGGGGAAAGGATACTGGGAAGAAAGAGGTAAAACTAGATTTTGGGAAGACTTCAGCTTCAGTCAAGCCAAGTATGCCATGCAGTGCTCATGGGAAGACAACGAGCACAGAGGTAACCAAAGCAAGTAAGGGACCAGGTGACGGAGAGGGTCTCAAAAAGAACGTCTTAGATTCCCATACCAGAACTTTAGATGTCAGGGCGAGGACTGCTCCATCCAAAGGGGTTGTCCCATCTCACCCACCCCAGGCGCAGTGCTCTGCTTTGGGAAAACTTAGGCAGGACAAGGGCTTAGCTCCGGTCAGCTGCTACCGGGGAACATTGGATTGGGAGGACAAATGTCTCTTGGA